CTGTATCTGTACCTGTATCTGTACCTGTATCTGTACCTGTATCTGTACCTGTACCTGTGCCTGTACCTGTATCTGTACCTGTATCTATACCCGTATCTGTACCCGTATCTGTACCTGTATCTATACCCGTATCTGTACACTGTATCTGTACCCGCATCTGTACCTGCAACATCTGTACCTGTACCTGCATGTGTACCTGCATCTGCATCTGTACCTGTACCTGCATCTGTACCTGTACCGTATCTGTACCTATACCTGTACCTGTACACTTGTGATCTGTACCTGTGCCTGCACTGTACCTGTATCTATACCCATGTACTTGTATCTATCTGTACCCGTATCTGTACCTGTATCTGTACCTGTATCTGTACCTGCACCATCTGTATCTGTACCTGTACCTGTACCCGTATCTGTACCCGTACCTGTGCCTACCTCCACCTGTATCTGTACCTGTACCTGCATCTGTACCTGTACCTGCATCTGTATCTGTACCTGTATCTGTACCTACCTGCATATGTACTGTACCCGCATCTGTACCTGTACCTGATGTGTACCTGTACATGTACCTGTACCTGTGCCTGTATCTGTACCTGTACTTGTACCTGTACCCGTATCTGTACCCTGCCTGTATCTGCACCTGTGCCTGTACCTGTACCCGTATCCACCTGTGCCTGTGCCTGTATCTGTACCTGTGCCTGTATCTATATCTGTACTTGCCCGTACCTGTGCCTGTACCTGTGTATCATATCTGTACTGCACCCGTACGTACCGTATCTGCACCTGTACCTGTGCCTGTACCTGTACCTGTACTTGTATCGCCTGTATCTGTACCTGTACCTGTACCTTATCTGTACCTGTACCTGTACCTGTACCTGTACCACCAGCCTGTACCTGTGCCTGTACCTGTACCTGTGTACCTGTACCTGTACCTATCTACCTGTACCTGTACCTGTACTTGTATCTGTACCTGTACCTGTAACTGTGCCTGTACCTGTACCTGTACTTGTATCTGTACCTGTACCTGTATCTGTGCCTGTACCTGTACCTGTACTTGTATCTGTACCTGTACCCGTACCTGTACCTGTATCTGTACCTGTACCTGTACCTGCACCTGTACCTGTATCTGTACCTGTACCTGTACGTATTACCGCATCTGTACCTGTACCTGCATGTGTACCTGTCTGTACCTGTACCTGTACCTGTACTTGCATCTGTACCTGTACCTCTACCTGTACCCGTATCTGTCCCGTACCTTTTTTGTATCTGTACCTGTACCTGTACCGTGCATGTACCTGTAATCACCTGTACCTGTACATGTACCTGCATCTTTACCTGTACCTGTACCTGTACCTGTACCTGTACCTGTCACTGTACATGTACCTGTACATGTACCATCTGTACCTGTACCTGCATGTGTACCTGTATCTGTATCTGTACCTGTATCTGTACTGTACCTATTGCCTGTACCTGCATGTACCCTGCATCTGTACCTGTACCTGCATGTACCTGTATCTGTATCTGTACCTGTATCTGTACCTGTACCTGTACCTGTACCGCTACATGTACCTGTACATGTACCTGCATCTGTACCTGTACCTGCATGTGTACCTGTATCTGTATCTGTACCTGTATCTGTACCTGTACCCGTACCTGTACCTGTACATGTACCCATACGTACCCGCATCTGACCTGTACCCGCATCTGTACCTGTATCTGTACCTGTACCTGCATCTGTACCTGTACCTGCATGTGTACCTATCTGTACCTGTACCTGCATGTTACCGCTATCTGTATCTGTACCTGTATCTGTACCTGTACCTGTACCTGTACCTGTACGTACCCGCATCCTGCACCTGTACCTGCATGTGCCTGTACCTGTACCCGTACCTGCATGTGTACCTGTATCAATCTATCTCCTGTATCTGTACCTGTACCTGGCTGCCTGTACCTGTACGTACCCATCTGCACCTGTACCTGCAGTGTACCTGTATCGTACCTGTACCTGTACCTGTACCTGTATCTGTACCTGTACCTGTACCTGTACCTGTACCTTTATCTGTACATGTACCTGCACGTGTACCTGTACCTGTACCTGCTACCATGTGTACCTGTATCTGTATCTGTACCCTATCTGCACCTGTACCTGTACCTGTACCTGTACCTGTACCTGCATCTGTACCTGTACCTGTACCTGTACCTGTACATGTACCTGCATCTGTCTCTGCATGTGCCTGTATCTGTACCTGTAACCGTACCTGTACCTGTACCTGCATGTGTACCTGTACCTGTACCTGTACCCGCATGTACCTGTATCTGTATCTGTACCTGCACCTGTACCTGTACCTGTACATGTGCATCTGTACCTGTACCTGCATGTGCCTGTGTTCCTGTACCTGTACCCGTACATGTACCTGCATCTGTACCTGTACCATGTACCTGTATCTGTGCCTGTCCCGTACCTGTACCTTACCTGTATCTGTACCTGTACCTGTACCTGTGTACTGCATATTGTACCAATCTGACCTGTACCTGTACCTGTATCTGTACCTGTACCTGTACCTGTACCTGCATGTGTACCTGTATCTGTACCTGTACCTGTACCTGTCCTGTATCTGTACCTATACCTGTACCTGCACCTGTACCTGTATCTGTATCTGTACCTGTACCTGTACCTGCACATGTACCTGCACCTGTACCTGCACCTGCATGTGTACCTGTATCTGTACCTATTACCTGTACGTAACCTGTACCTGTACATGACCTGTAATCTGTACCTGCACCTGTACCTGTACCCTGTACATGTGCCTGTACCTGTACATGTACCTGTACATGACCCATTCTGTACCTGTACCTGTGCAATGTACCTGTACCTGTACATGTACCTGTACCTGTACCTGTACCTGCACCTGCACATATTGCTGCTATCTGTACCTGTACCTGTACCTGCACCTGTTGCATACCTGTACCTGTACGTACCTGTACCTGTACATTACCTGCACCTGTACCTGTACCTGCATGCCCTGCACCGCTACCTGTACTATTACGTACCTGTACCTGTACCTGCATGTACCTGTACCTGTACCTGTACCTGTACATGTACCTGCATCTGTACCTGTACCTGCATGTGTACCTGTATCTGTATCTGTACCTGTACCTGTATCTGTACCTGTACCTGTACCTGTACGTACCTGTATCTGTACCTGCACCTGTATCTGTACCTGCATGTGTACCTGTACCTGTACCTGTACCTGTACCTGTACCTGTACCTGTACCTGCATGTGTACCTGTATCTGTACCTGTACCTGTACCTGCATGTGTACCTGTACCTGTACCTGTACCTGTACCTGTACCTGTACCTGTACCTGCACCTGCATGTGTACCTGATCTGTACCTGTACCTGTACCTGCATGTGTGCCTGTATCTGTACCTGTACCTGCACATGTACCTGCATCTGTACCTGTACCTGCATGTGTTACCTGTACCTGTACCTGTACATGTGCCTGTCACAATACCACAGCACCTGTATCTGCACCTGTACCTGCATGTGTACCTGTATCTGCACCTGTACCCACTGTACCCTGCACCTGTACCTGTACCCTGTACATGCACTGACATGTATCTGCATCCACTGCACCTGCACCTGCACCTGATCTGTACCTGTACTCAGATCTGTACCTGCACCTGCATACCTGCACTGCAATCTGTACCTGCATGTGTACCTGTACCTGTACCTGACCTGTACCTGACCTGTACCCAGATTCAAAACTGCACCTGTACCTGCACCTGCACCTGTACCTGCATCTGTACCTGCACCTGCACCTGCACCCTTGCACCTGTATCCAGACCTGCACCAGCATCTGCACCTGCACCTGCACTGCACCCGCACACGTACCCATCTGCACCTGTACCCGCATGTGCACCCGCATCTGCACCCACCTGCACCTGTATCTGCATCTGTACCTGCACCTGCACCTGCATTCCACCTTATCTGTACCTGCACCTGCACCTGCAATCTGCACCTGCACCCCAGCCCTGCACCTGCACCTGCATCCGATCTGCACCTGCATCTGCACCCAGACCTGCATCTGCACCTGCACCTGCACCCGACTGCACCTGCACCTGTACCTTGCACCTGCACATGTACCTGCAGACCTGCACCTGTACCCTGCATGCAACCTGCACCCGCAATCTGCACCTGCACTGCACCTGTACCTCAGCATTCCTGTACCCGCACTGCACCCGCATGTGCACCTGCATCCGCATCTGCACCCGCACCTGCACTGCACCTGCACATGCACCCGCATCCAGTATCTGTACCTGCATGTGTACTGCACTGTATCTGTATCTGCACCTGCACATGTACCCGACCTGCACCTGTACCCTGCATGTATTCCAGACCTGTACCTGCACCTGCACCTGTACCTGTACCGCATCTGCACCTTGCACCTGCACCTGCACAGGCACCTGTACCCGTACTCCTGTTACCCACCTGTATCTGCACCTGTACCTGCACCTGTACCTGCATGTGCACCCAGATCTGCACCTGCACCTGTACCTGCACCTGCATCTGCACCTGCACCTGTACCTGTACCTGTACTCAGACCTCACCTGTACCTGTACCTGCACCTGCACCTGCACCTGTACCTGCACCCGCATGTGCACCTGCATCCGCACCCGCACCCTGCACCCGCACCCGCACCTGCACCCGCATCCTGCACCTGCACCTGCACCTGCACCTGCACCTGCACCTGCACCTGCACCCGCACCTGCACATGCACCCGCATCTGCACCTGCACCGCACATGCACCCCACCCGTACACACCTGCACCTGCACCTGCACCTGCACCCACTGCACCTGCATCCGCACCTGCACCTGTACCCGTACCCAACTGCACCTGCACCTGCACATGCACTGCACCCACGTACCCACCTGCACCTGCACCTGCATGCACCTGTACCCAGCACCGCACCTGCACCTGCACCCGCGTACCTGTACCCGCATGTGCACCAGCACCTGCATCTGCACCTGCACCTGCACCCGCATCTGCACCTGCACCGCACCTGCACCCGTATCTGCATCTGCACCTGCACCTGCATCTGCACCTGTACCCGTACCTGCACCCGCATCTGTACCTGCACCTGGTATCTGCACCTGCATGCACCAATCTGCACCCGTACCTGTACCTGTACCTGCACCTGCACCTGTCACCTGCACCTGTATCTGCACTGTACCTGCACCTGGCACCTGCACCTGTACCTGCACTCTGCACCTGTACCTGTACCTGGTACCTGTACCTGTACCTGCACCTGCACCTGTACCTGCACCTGTACCTGCACCTGTACCTGTACCTGCACCTGTACCTGCACTGCACCTGTACCTGCACCTGCACCTGCACCTGTACCTGCACCTGCACCTGCACCTGTACCTGCACCTGTACCTGCACCTGTACCTGCACTCATCTGTACCTGTACTCCAGCCACCTGTACCTGCACCTGTACCTGCACCTGCACCTGTACCTGTATCTGCACCTGTACCTGCACCCCACCCCTGCACCTGTCCTGCACCTGTACCTGTACCTGTACCTGCACCTGTACCTGTACCTGTACCTGCACCTGCACCTGCACCTGCACCTGCACCTGTACCTGTACCTGCACCTGTACCTGTACCTGCACCTGTACCTGTACCTGCACCTGTACCTGCACCTGCACCTGTACCTGCACCTGTACCTGCACCTGCACCTGTACCTGTACCTGTACCTGCACCTGTACCCACCTGCACCTGTACCTGTACCTGCACCTGTACCTGCACCTGCACCTGTACCTGTACCTGTACCTGTACCCACCTGTACCTGTACCTGTACCTGCACCTGCACTCAGCCTGCACCTGCACCTGTACCTGTACCTGCACCTGATCCTGCACCTGCACCTGTACCTGCACCTGGCCACCCTTGTACCTGCACCTGCACCTGTACTCTGTACCTGTACCTGTACCTGCACCTGTACCTGCACCTGTACCTGTACTCTGCACCTGTACCTGTACCTGTACCTGCACCTGTACCTGCACCTGCACCTGTACCTGTACCTGCATCTGTACCTGTACCTGTACCTGCACTCACCTGCACCTGCACCTGTACCTGCACCTGCACCTGTACCTGTACTCTGCACCTGCACCTGCACCTGTACCTGTGCCTGCACCTGCACTCCACCTGTACCTGCACCTGTACCTGTACCTGCACCTGCACCTGTACCTGCACCTGTACCTGTGGCCTGTACCTGCACCTGCACTGTCCTGCACCTGCACCTGCACCTGCACCTGCACCTGTACCTGCACCTGTACCTGTACCTGCACCTGCACCTGCACCTGCACCTGCACCTGTACCTGCACCTGTGCCTGCACCTGTACCCACTCTGCACCTGTACCTGTACCTGTGCACCTGCACCTGTACCTGCACCTCACACCTGTACCTGTACCCGCACCTGCACCTGCACCTGCACCTGCACCTGCACCTGTACCTGCACCTGTACCTGCACCTGCACCTGTCACCTGTACCTGCACTCCTGCACCTGTACCTGTACCCCACCTGTACCTGCACCTGTACCTGTACCTGCACCTGTACCTGTACCTGCACCTGTGCCTGCACCTGCACCTGCACCTGCACCTGTACCTGTACCCTGCACCTGTACCTGCACCTGCACCTGCACCTGCACCTGTACCTGTACTCTGCACCTGTACCTGTACCTGTACCTGCACCTGTACCTGCACCTGTACCTGTACCTGCACCTGTACCTGTACTCCTCTACCTGTACCTGCACCTGTACCTGTTCACCTGCACCTGTGCCTGTACCTGTACCTGTGCTACGTACTGCACCTGTACCTTGTACCTGCACCTGTATCACCTGCACCTGCACCTGTACCTGCACCTGCACCTGTACCTGCACCTGTACCTGTACCTGCACCTGTACCTGTATCCGCACCTGTACCTGTACCTGCACCTTCCTGTACCTGTACCTGCACCTGCACCGTACCTGCACCTGTACCTGTACCTGTACCTGCACCTGTACCTGCACCTGCACCTGTACCTGTACCTGTACCTGTACCTGCACCTGCACCTGTACCTGTACCTGCACCTGTACCTGCACCTGCACCTGTACCTGCACTGCACCTGTACCTGTACCTGCACCTGTACCTGCACCTGTACCTGTAACTGCACTTACCTGCACCTGCACCTCTGTACCTGCACCTGTACCTGTGCACCTGCACCTGTACCTGCACCTGCACCCACCTGCACCTGTACCTGTACCTGCACCTGTACCTGTACCTGCACCTGCACCTGCACTCCTGCACCTGTACCTGCACTCCACCTGTACCTGCACCTGTACCTGCACCTGTACCTGCACCTGCACCTGCACCTGCACTGCACCTGTACCTGCACCCTGCACTGTACCTGCACTGCACCTGTACCTGCACCTGTACCTGCACCTGCACCTGTACCTGCACCTGTACCTGCACCTGTACTCACCTGTACCCACTCCACACCTGCACTGCACCTGCACCTGCACCTGCACCTGCACCTGCACCTGCACCCACCCGCACCCTGCACCTGTACCCCAGACCACCTGCACCTGCACCCGCACCTGCACCTGCACTGCACCTGCACCTGACCTGGTACCCACTGCACCGCACCTGCACCTGCACCTGTACCTGCACCTGCACCTGCACCTGTACCCTGCACCCAGCCTGTACCTGCACCTGCACCTGTACCTGCACCTGCACCTGCACCTGTACCTGCACCTGCACCTGCACCTGTACCTGCACCTGCACCTCTCACCTGTACCTGCACCTGCACCTGTACCTGCACCTGCACCTGTACCTGCACCTGCACCACCTGCACTGCACCTGCACCTGTACCTGCAATCTGCACTGCACCTGTACTGCACCTGCACTGCAACTGCACCCTGCATCTGCACCTGCACCTGCACCTGCACTGCACCCACCTGCACCCTGCACCTGCACCTGCACCCCACCTGCACCTGCACCTGTACCCAACCCACCTGCACCTGCACCTGCACCTGCACCTGTACCTGCACCTGCACCTGCACCTGTACCTGCACCTGCACCTGCAACCCACCTGCACCTGCACCTGCACCTGCACCTGCACCTGCACACCTGCACCTGCACCCACCTGCACCTGCACCTGCACCTGCACCTGCACCTGCACCTGCACCTGTGTCTGCACCTGCACCTGCAATCTGCACCTGCACCTGCACCGCACCTGTACCTGTACCCGCAACCTGCACCTGCACCTGCACCTGCAACCTGCACCCGCAACCTGCACCTGCACCTGCACCTGCACCTGCACCTGCACCTGCACCCACTCCTGCACCTGCACCTGCACCTGCACCCAGACCTGCACCCACCTGCACCTGCACCAGACCCACCTGCACCTGCACCTGCACCTGTACCCACTCCAGACCTGCACCTGTACCCTGCACCCACCTGCACCCAACCTGCACCTGCACCTGCACTCCACCTGTACCTGCACCTGCACACCTGCACCTGCACCTGCACCTGTGCCTGCACCTGTCTGCACCTGTACTGTACCTGCACCTGCACCTGCACTGCACTGCACCTGCACTGCACCCACCACCTGTACCTGTACCTGCACCCTGCCCGCACCTGCACACCCGCACCTGCACCTGCAACCTGGACCCGCACCTGCACCTGCACCCCTGCACCTGTACCTGCACCCCATGCACCTGTACCTGCACCTGCACCCAGCACTGCACCTGCACCACCCACCTGCACCTGCACCTGCACTGCACCTGTACCACCTGCACTGCACTGCACCTGCACTGCACCTGACCCTGCCCCTGCACCTGTACACCTGCACCTGCACCTGCACCTGTACCTGCACCTGCACCTGTACCTGCACCTGTACCTGCACCTGCACTGCACCACTGCACCTGCACTCTGCACCTGTACCCTGCACTGCACTGCACCTGCACCTGCACCCACCCTTCCACCTGCATCTTGCACCTGCACCTGTACCTGCACCTGCACCTGCACCCGCACCTGTACCTGCACCTGCACCTGTACCTGCACCTGCACCCACCTGCACCTGCACACCTGCACCTGTACCTGCACTCCGCACCTGTACCTGCACCTGCACCTGCACCTGCACCTGCACCTGCACCTGTACCTTCCACCTGTACCTGCACCTGCACCTGCACCTGTACCTGCACTGCACCTGTACCCAGACCTGTACCTGCACCACCTGCACCTGTACCTCCACCTGCACCTCCACTCACCCTGCACCTGCACCTGCACCTGCACCTGCACCTGCACCTGTACCTGCACCTGCACTGCACCTGCACCCGCACCTGCACCTGCACCCACCCACCTGCACCTGCACCTGCACCCGCACCTGCACCTGCACCTGACACCTGCACCTGCACCCTGCACCCAGCACACCCACCTGCACCTGCACCCAGACCTGCACCTGCACCTGTACCTGCACTGCACCTGCACTGCACCTGTACCTGCACCCAGCACCGCAACCACTGCACCTGCACTCCAACTTACTGCACTGCAACTGCACCTGTAACCCGCACCCACCTGCACCTGTACCTGCACCTGCACCTGTATTCAGCATTTGTGTCTGAGACAAATGTTCTAACTCCATCATAGTGGCAGAGACCAATTTGCATATTAATGTCATGCTTTTTATTTAAATTAAATTATGCACAACACAAAATTTTACTCTGATGACGGGTTTGTCTACTCATTATTCCTATTTTTCCTTCTGTTCCATTTTTTATCGCACTTTTTGTCTCTTATACATCTAAAACTTATGAATGGTTAAGAAATTTATAAGTTAAAATTTTAATATTTTTATTTATTGTAGTGTGTGTGTGTGTGTGTGTGTGTGTGTGTGTGTGTGTGTGTGTGTGTGTGTTTTGTATGTGTGTGTGTGTGTGTTTTGTATATATATATAATACTGGTTTTATTGGCTCTACCTCGAAAACTGAAAATATACATTGAACATAAAAGCTTATACATACATTGGTAGGTTTAACAAAAGCCTTCATTAGAAAAGTAAAAGAACATACAGTGAACATACAGTGTATTAAGTGTGAACACAAAAAACATGTGTAACTCCCTCCCAGATAGTGTTGGAAGGGCCTCTCACATGGTGTAGTGGTTCTCAGATGGTATGAGACCTGCGTGGTGTGTGCTCCCTCCCGTTTCATGTGGTGTGTTCTCAGATGGTATTGAGGACCTGGCGTCAAGTAACTCCTCCCCAGATAGTATTTCACATGGTGTATGTTCCCTACAGATGGTATTGAAGAACTGCATGTTTGTATTCCTACAAATGGTGTTGCCTCACGTAGTATATCTTCACAGATGGTGTTATGAACCTCACGTGGTGTAGTAATTCTCTCAACAGATGGTGCAAAGGACCTCACACGCATTGTAGTAATACTCACAAATAGTGGCCCGAGACCTCACAAATATATTCTCCCAAATAGTGTTAAAGGCTCAGGCACTCACAGATGGTGTTATGAGGGCCTCACGTGGTGTAGTTCCTCCCAGATGGTGTTATGGGGGCCTCACGTGGTGTAGTAATTCCTCACAATGAGTGTTATGAGGACCTCACGTGGTGTAATATTCCTCCCAGATGGTGTTAGGAAACTCTCGTAGTATAGGTTCCCTCAGATGGTGTTATAAAGAACCTCACATGTAGTGTATATTACCTCACATAGGTGTTGTAAAGGAGGCCTCACGTGGTGTAGTATTCACAGATGTGGTGTTGTGAGGCTTGACGTAGTAATTCCCTCACATATAGTATGAGGGCATGTGGTATGTAATTCCCTCACAGATGGTGTTATATGAAGTGAGGTGTGGTGGCTTACTCATGAGACGGATTAACACATCGCTGGTTTTGGTCTCACGGGCCGTTATCACATTGGGTACCTGGGACCTCACTGTGTGAGAATTACTTGGGTACGACTGTTACTGTTGAGTTGTTCTCACTGACTTAAGCACTGTTCACCACTGTTCACCACTGTTTAACACTGGTTCCGTTCCTTTCAAATGAAATTGTAACTTCTGGCGAGAACTTGTTTATATTCCGGTAGAGGGTTCAGGGGTGGTTGAGCCAACAACAGTTGACCTGGCTGCTCCGAGAGGCGCCAGGACGTCTTGACCCTTCGGTGGTCAAGTGTGTGTGTGTGTGTGTGTGTGTGTGTGTGTGGTGTGTGTGTGTTTGTAAAAAAATATATGTAATTAACGGTTTTTTGAAAAACTTGGCAGCAAGCTATGTGTGTGTGTGTGTGTGTGTGTGTGTGTGTTTTTGTGTGTGTGTGTGTGTGTGTGTGTGTGTGTGTGTGTGTGTGTGTGTGTGTGTGTGTGTGTGTGTGTGTGTGTGTGTGTGTGTGTGTGTGTGTGTTTGTGTGTTTGTGTGTGTGTGAGTGAGTGTGTGTTGTTTGTATTCGTGTATGTGTGTGTGTGTGTGAGTTTTGTATGTGTGTGTGTGGCTCTAAATAAGCTTTCAGTCCATCACCTATCCTACACCTATCCACCCCAACCTACTGTACTATCCTTACTGTACTGTGTGGCTGGTATGTACAATCCACCACTTCCCCCACTCCTCCCCCTCCCCTCCCCCCCACTCCCCCCCTTCCCCCCCCCCCCTCCCCCCTCCCCCCCTACTGCCTCCTTATTAGGCATCGTTGTACAGTTTCGTTGTACCCCGTCATATTGGACAGTGTGGAATACCAACAGTGCCCTCTCTCTCTCTCTCTCTCTCTCTCTCTCTCTCTCTCTCTCTCTCTCTCTCTCTCTCTCCTGTATATGCGTTTCACTTAGCTTTTTACTATCAGCTACACTCAGGGTACCAACAGTTCGCATTTCAATTAGTTCAGGGGCACCAATATTCCCCCAAATCACATTAGTTAATCAAGGAACCACCAACAAAAACCCACCAAAACCCAACAAACCAACCAAACCCCAACTGACATCCATTAACCCCAACCAAACCCCAACCAAACCCATTAACCCCAGCCAAACCCCAACTGACATCCATTAACCCCAACAAAACCCAACCACCAACCAAACCCCAACCAAACCCATTAACCCCAACCAGACTCCAAATGACACCCAACTCCACTACCCCCCCCTCTGCCGTGCCTCCTTCAGGATTCGTGCTGTTGGTCGTGCGTGCCGTGCCCTGAGGACTCCATCATCCACAACGACACGTGCCGCCCCTGTGAGCTGGGCTGGGCACCGACTGTCGACAAGGTGACCTGTTTTAAACTGACCCCAGAGAACACATGACCTGGGACTCCAGCGGGCCATTGTCCCTTGGTGTTCGAGAGTGGGGAGGGAGTGTGAGGTGTAATGAGAAAGTGGTGTGAAAGTAGAGAGGAGGGGTGTGTGAGAGAAGTGGGGGTGTGTGGGGGGTGTGGGGGTGTGGGTGGGGTGGGTGTGTGGGGTGAAATGGTGAGAGATGAAAGCAAGGGTGGGGGAAATACTATGAGATGGACACAGGGCCATCAAGATTCACCAAAGTCAACACTGCGTCACGTTCCTTTTAACACACGCCATAAGGTTATTAACACACCTGTATGAAGCTCACCTGGTCAACCTCCACACCTTTAAATAAAACTCTTCTGGATACATCATAACACGACTCTCCTCCACCACCACCATCACACACCATCATCACCACCACCATCACCACCTTCTCCCCCCACAGCTCACTGGGTCTGTTGTGTACACTGCTCACCACCACCATCATCCACCACCACCATCACCACCACCATCACCACCACCCATACCACCACCATCACCACCACCACCACCACCTTCTCTCCCAGCTCACTGGGTCTGTTGGCTGCTGCTCACCACCACCATCATCACCACCACCATCATCACCCACCCATCACCACCACCACCACCACCTTCTCTCCCCACAGCTCACTGGTCTGTTGCAGTGCCACTACTCTGCCACCACATCACCACCACCATCACCACCACCCCACCACCACCACCATCACCATCTCTCCCCCCCACAGCTCACTGGGTCTGTTGTGTCCACCAGCTCCCACCACCATCATCACCACCACCATCACCACCACCACCCCCTCATCCACCTTCTCTCCCCAGCTCACTGGGTCTGTTGTGTACACTGCTCACCACCACCATCACCACCACCACCACCACCACCACCACCACCACCACCATCACCACCCTTCTCTCCCCCACATCACTGGATCTGTTGGCCACTGCTCACCACCACCACCATCACCCACCACCATCACCACCACCACCACCACCACCATCACCACCACCACCATCACCACCACCACCACCACCACCCACCATCACCACCACCATCACCACCACCATCACCACCATCATCACCACCATCACTACCACCACCACCACCACCACCATCCCCACCTTCTCTCCCCCAGCTCACTGGGTCTGTGTGTGCCACTGCTCACCACCATCACCACCACCATCACCCACCACCATCACCCACCTTCTCTCCCCACAGCTCACTGATTCTGTTGTGTACCTGCTCACCACCACCACCCACCATCATCACCACCACCACCACCATCATCACCACCACCATCACACCACCACCACATCACCACCACCATCACCACCTTCTCTCCCCACAGCTCACTGGGTCTGTTGTGTGCACTGTCACCACCATCATCACCACCACCCATCACCACCATCACCACCACCACCACCACCATCACCACCTTCTCTCTCCCCACAGCTCCTGGGTCACAATTTGTGCACTGCACCACCATCACCACCATCACCACCACCATCACACCACCATCACCACCTTCTCTCTCCCCCACAGCTCACTAGGTCTGTTGTGTACACTGCTCACCACCACCATATCCCCACCACCATCACCGCCACCATCACCACCACCATCATCACCACCACCACCCACCACCTTCTCTCCCCTCCTGTCTGAAATGTGTGCCTGTCACCACCACCACCATCACCACCACCATCACCACCATCATCCACCCACCACCACCACCACCTTCTCCCCTCACAGCTCACTGAATGCCACTGCTCACCACCACCGCCTCATCACCACCACCACCATCACCTCACCCTCACCACCACCACCACCACCATCACCACCACCACCATCACCAATCATCACCTCACCGTCACCGCACCCTATCTCCTCACGGCTCGCTGGTTGTTACGCAACTCACCCACCACCACCACCATCACCACCACCACCACCACCACCATCACCACCACCACCATCACCACCACCATCCCCACCACCATCACCACCTTCCCTCCTCACAGCTCACAGGCCACCATTGTTGCACTGCTCCCACCACCATCACCACCACCACCATCACCACCACCATCACCACCCACCCACCATCACCACCATCATACCCACCACCACCTCTCCCTCCACGCTCTGCGCATTGCACTGCTCACCGCCACCACCATCACCACCACCACCATCCCCACCATCCCACCCACCACCATCACCACCTTCTCTCCCCACAGCTCACTGCTGATGTGTTGACCGCGCCATCACCACCACCACCACCACCATCACCCACCACCACCATCCACCACCACCATCACCTGCCACACCACCCACCACCACCACCACCACCATCAATCCACCGCATCATACCATCTCTACTCACAAGTGTCATTTGTTGCACTGCTCACCACCACCACCATCACCTCCACCATCATCCCACCACCACCACCTTCCTCTCCTCACAGCTCACTATCCATTTGTGTACACTGCTCACCACCACCACCACCATCACCACCACCATCACCTTCTCTCCCTCACCAACTGTGCACTGCTCACCACCATCACCACCATCATCACCACCACCACCTTCTCTCTCCCACAGCTCACTGATGTATTGTGTGCCTGCTCACCATCACCACCACCATCATCACCACCACCACATCACCACCACCATCATCACCACCACCACCACCTTCTCTCCCCAGCTCACTGATCTGTTTGGCCTGCTGCTCACCACCACCACCACCATCACCACCACCATCATCCCCACCACCACCGCCTCTCCTCACCAGCTCACTGAGTCGCATTGTTGCGCCTCCGCCACCACCATCACCACCACCATCATCACCACCACCACCATCACCCTGCCATCACCACCACCATCACCACCATCATCCCTGCACCACCACCACCACCATCATCACCACCACTCACCACCTTCTCTCCTCCCACAGCTCACTGTTGTGCTCACCACCACCACCACCATCTCTCACCCACCACCATCACCTGCATCACTTCTCTCCTCCCATGCACTGCTCACCACCATCACCACCATCACCACCACCTTCTCTCCCACACTCCATGAATTGTTGTCCATGCCTCACCACCATCACCACCACCTTCTCTCCTCACAGCTCACTCATTCTCTCACCACCACCACCATCACCACCACCATCACCACCACCACCTCCCCTTCTCTCTCACGGCTCACTTCTTTTGTTGTGCACTGCTCACCACCACCACCACCACCATCACCACCACCACCATCACCACCATCACCACCACCACCATCACCACCACCTTCTCTCCCCACACTCTGGTCTGTTGTGTGCATGTCACCACCACCACCACCACCACCATCACCACCACCACCATCACCACCATCACCACCACCATCCACCCACCTCTCTCCTCCCAGCTCACTGGAGTGCCAGTGCACACTGCTCACCACCACCACCACCACCACCACCATCACCACCACCATCACCACCACCTCCACACCACCATCACCACCACCACCACCATCACCACCTTCTCTCTCACAGCTCACTTTCTTGTGTGCTCACCACCATCACCACCACCTGCCATCACCACCACCACCCACCACCACCATCACCACCACCACCATCACCACCACCATCACCACCACCATCACCACCACCACCATCACCCACCACCTTCTCCTCACGGCTCGCAGATGCACTGCTCACCACCACCACCACCACCACCATCACCACCATCACCACCATCACCACCTTCTCTCCCTCACGCACAGAATGCATTTGTTGCTGCTCACCACCATCACCACCCATCACCCACCACCATCACCACCACCATCACCACCATCACCACCTTCTCTCCTCCTGCTCACTGGAATGTATTGTGTGCACTGCTCACCCACCACCCACCACCATCACCCACCACCACCACCACCATCACCATCACCATCACCACCTTCTCTCCTCCACAGCTCACTGAATGCTTGTGCACACTGCTCACCACCACCACCACCACCACCACCACCACCACCATCACCACCATCCTTCTCTCACGGCTCAGTGTGCCACCACCACCATCCCGCCACCATCACCACCTCACCTGCCATCCCCAACCATCACCCTCACTCCACCACCACCACCACCACCACCACCACCACCTTCTCTCCTCACAGCTCACTGTCTGTTGTGTGCCTGCTCACCACCACCACCACCACCACCATCACCACCACCACCATCACCACCTTCTCTCCTCACAGCTACTGTTTTGTTGCACTGCTCACCACCACCACCACCATCACATCACCACCACCACCACCACCACCATCACCACCTTCTCTCCCCTCACAGCTCACTGTTGTGTGCACTGCTCACCACCATCACCCACCACCATCACCACCATCACCACCTTCTCTCTCTGGATACTTGTTGTTGCACTGCTCACCACCACCACCACCACCTCCCCCACCACCGCCACCACCACCACCATCACCGCAATATCTCCTCTCTGACTCACTGTTGTTGGTATTGCACTGCTCACCACCACCACCACCACCACCACCATCACCACCACCACCACCACCACCATCACCACCTTCTCTCCCCCACAGCTCACTGAAACCGTGGCCACTGCTCACCACCACCACCACCACCACCACCACCACCACCACCACCACCACCACCATCACCACCACCATCACCACCACCATCACCACCTTCTCTCCCCACAGCTCACTGGTGCTGTGTGCTGCTCACCACCACCACCATCACCCACCACCACCACCACCCACACCACCACCCACCACCACCACCATCACCACCTTCTCCCCCACAGCTCACTGGTCTTATTTGCCTTATGCCGCCATCGCCACCACCACCATCATCACCACCTCCACCATCACCACCACCACCACCTGCCATCACCACCACCACCCACCACCACCACCACCGCCATCCGCCACCACACCACCACCACCACCACCACCATCACCACCACCACCACCACCAACCTCACCACTCACCACCACACCACACCACCACCACCACCACCACCACCACCATCACCACCATCACCACCACCACCACCACCACCATCACCACCACCATCATCCACCACCACCACCACCTTCTCTCCCCAGCTCACTGGGTCTGTTGTACACTGCTCACCACCACCACCACCACCACCATCACCACCACACCATCACCAACCTTCCTCCCCACCCCACAGCTCACTGGCCCTGCCACACCGCCCACCACCACCAACCACCACCAACCATCACCACCAACCACCACCACCACCACCACCACATCACCACCACATCATCACCACCATCACCACCACCACTCACCACCACCACCACCACCACCTCTCTCCCCCACAGCTCACTGGGTCCACAGTACACCGCCTCACCACCATCACCACCACACCATCATCACCACCCATCATCACCACACCATCACCACCACCATCACCACCACCATCACCACCACCATCACCACCTCTCTCCCCCCACAGCTCACTGGGTCTGTTGTGCACACTGCCTCACCACCATCACCACCTCCACCACCACCACCACCATCACCACCATCACCACCACCATCACCACCACCATCACCACCTCCTCTCCCCACAGCTCACTGGGTCTGTTGTGTACACTGCTCACCACCATCATCACCACCATCATCACCACCATCACCACCACCATCACCACCACCATCACCACCACCATCACCACCTTCTCTCCCCACAGCTCACTGGGTCTGTTGTACACTGCTCACCACCACCACCATCATCACCACCACCATCACCACCACCATCACCACCTCTTCCCCCACAGCTCACTGGGTCTGTTGTACACTGCTCACCACCATCACCACCATCACCACCACACCACACCACCACCACACCACCACCATCACCACCACCACCATCATCACCTCTCTCTCTCCCCCACACAGCCTACACTGGGTCCACGTACACTCACCACCACCATCACCACCACCACCACCATCACCACCACCACCATCACCACCCTCTCTCCCCACAGCTCACTGGGTCTGTTGTACACTGCTCACCACCACCACCACCACCACCACCATCACCACCATCACCTCACCACCATCACCACCACCATCACCACCACCACCCCATCATCACCATCACCACCACCACCACCATCACCACCACCACCACCACCACCTCCTCACAGCTCCACTGGGTCTGTTGTGTACACTGCTCACCACCATCACCTTCATCCGGTTCAACACCACGCCGGTGATCATGGCGAGCGGCCGAGAGCTATGTTACGTCCTCCTGTCGGGGATCGCTCTCTGTTACCTCATGACCTTCGTGATCCTGGCGCCGCCCTCCACCCCCTCCTGCGCCCTCCTCAGGTTGGGTCTTGGCCTCGGTCTCTGCATCTGCTACTCCGCCATCTTCACCAAGACCAACAGGATCTCCCGGATCTTCAACAGAGGCATGAAGTCCATCAAGAGGCCCCACACTCCCCCAGGTCCCAGATTGTTATTTGTAGCGGGATCTCTTGTGTGTCCATTGAAAAAAAAAAAAAAAAAAAAAAAGAGAGAGAGAGAGAGAGAGAGACTGACTTTTAGTAAATATTAAACCCTTACTACCTATCCCCTTGAGGACGACTGGTGTAACTCTTTCCTCCCTATGATACTAACAGTCTCTAGTACACACACACACACACACACACACACACACACACCCATATCACCAACCACTACTACCAATAACAAACCCATAATTACCATTTCCTAATAACTACAAACCACACTATAACAACCACCACCACCACCACCACCACCACCACCACAGCCACCACCACCAACAACAACTATCCTGCAACCTACACTATCACCAACAACAATCAAGGACAAAAAATACGACCACCACCACAACTACCAGCAACCAACAAACTCCTTATCACCACTAGCAACAACAATCACCACTACAACAACAATCACCACTACCACTACAACAATACCCACCTATATCACATTCAAATAGACATCACCACTTACACCATACTACCACTAACAACACAATCACAGTAGTTATGACTGAACTCTATTTTCTTTCCCTTCTCCCAACCTCTTTCGCCCCCCTCTTCTCTCCCCCTCCCTCTTCTCCTCCTCTTCACCCCTCCTCCTCCTCCTTCCCATCATCTCACTTCAACTTTCCTGGCTACAATCTCTCTTCAAATCTCACAAGTGGTGGCGGCTTCTGCTGCTATGTGGACTGAGATTGTTTTCAGTATAATCTCTAACTTTCTCCCTCACTTTGACTCCTCCCAACCCCAACCCTCCTCCCTCCCCTCCTCCACTTTCACAAACTCCTTCGTCCAATGTTGGGTTGTGTCTATCGGTCTCCTAACGCCCTTTGGTGACCCGTCTATTGACGTTCACTGCCACTATAGTACACGTAACGTCACCCTCAGCCGGACTCAATGTTGAGCCACAGTACAGTGCTGGTTGTGGCTCCTATCACAACCCTTTATATTTTACTTGTCCTTCCTCATCCTTAGTTTATGTGATACTACTACTAATACTCATTTACTATTACTACTACTACTACTACTACTACTACTACTACTACTACTACTACTACTACTACTCATAACATAAACTCATATCCTGGGACCCCTCACCTCGGCCATAAGACACCCCCCCTTAGCCTCAGAACCCCTGCTCTCACCTTAGCCTCAGAACCCACCTCACCTCAACCCTCAGAACCCACCCCCACCTTAGCCTCAGAACCCACCCTGCTCCCTCACCTTAGCCCCCAGAACCCACCCTGCTCCTCACCTTAGCCTCAGGAACCCACCCTGCTCCCCTCACCTTAGCTTCAGAACCCCTCCTCACCTCGGCCTCACCCCCCACCTTGCTCAGAACCCTCCCTCACCTCCTCAGCCTCACCCCCCACCTTAGCCTCAGAACCCCATGATCGTCATTTTTCAGGAAAATTAGCCACATTTTCCCTCCCGCCTGGTTGATTTCTGATGACAAAATGTGGCCGTTTTGACTGTGGCGTCCCTCTCTGTTTGTTTGTTTGTTTGACGTATGCATGTGTGTTTTTGTGTTTGTTTGGTGTAAGTTTGTATGCTGTGTGTTTGTGATTGTTGTGTTTTTCTCTGTTTGTTGGCCGTGTTTGTGTGTTTGTTGGCCGTGTTGGTATATGTGTGTTTTAGCGTGTGTTTTTATGTAAATTTAACAGTTTTGTTGTTATCTTGTTGTTGTAGTTGTTGGCGTAAGTGATGACGTGGTTATAGTGGCTTTGTATTGTATGTAACCTAGGGCGTGGCTAGTGGTGGGCGTGGCTAGCTGTGGGTGTGTGGGCGTGGCTAGTGGTGTGTGTGTGTGGGGGGCGGAGAGCTGTGGGCGGGTGGCTAGTAGTGGTGAGGTGGCGAGTAATGTGCGTGTGAACTTGGTTTAATAATAGGCGTGACTAGTAGTGGGCGTGTGGGCGTACACATAGACTAACCCTACCACTTCCTCCCTCCATCACAGGACTCGTGGGCGTGCAGCTGGTGGGCGTGGTGGCGTGGTTGGTGGTAGAGCTGCCCACCACCAAGGAGGTGTACCCATACCGTCTGGTGGCAGTGTTGACATGTGGTATCTCCAATATCTCTCTCATCCTCTCCCTCGGCTACAACATGGTGCTCATCCTCCTGTGCACCGTGTACGCCTTCAAGACCAGGAAGATCCCAGAGAACTTTAACGAGGCCAAGTACATCGGCTTCACCATGTACAGCACCTGCATCGTCTGGCTCGCGTTCATCCCAATCTACTTCGGCACCAACAATGACTACAAGGTGAGTTGGAAAGAGCTTCTTCACTATAGGTAGGACGGCTTCACCAAGTAGAGAAGCTTCATTAGGCAAGGCGCTCAAGGTTAGAAGAGCTTCACCAAGTAGGGAAAGCCTCACCAGGTTTACGGGGGTTTCACTAGGGAAGGGAGGGGGGTTCACGACCAATCAGGAGATAAGTCTGATTTCACGTTTAGTAACCATTGCTGAGGACACCTGAGTGAACGGAACTCAAGGTGTATGTTCATTAGAATACCTCTGATCTCTCTCTCTCTCTCTCTCTCTCTCTCTCTCTCTCTGTTTAGCTACACGGCACACTGTGAACGTTGCCATCACACACACACACACACACACACACACACACACACACTACAAAGGGCAAACAATGGAGGGAATTTTAAGAGGTCAAGCAGTTGTGTTTGTGTTTACTTGTGTGTGTGTAAACAATGGCAGGTAGTGAAGACGTGGATGACGACCCTTCTGATGATGTAGACAAACACTATCTCTCTCTCTCTCTCTATACACACATACTGCCACTGAAATTCACTCTACTCTCTCTCTACATCAAAGACTACGGAGAATTATTACTATTATGACGCTTCAATAGTAGACAGACTCTGATATTTGACCACCAACCAAACCTCTCACCTCACCTCACCTCCCTCACCTCACCTCCCCTCACCACCTCCCTCCCTCGCCTCACCTCCCTCCCTCACCTCCCTCCCCTCACCTCCCCTCCTTCACCTCACCTACCTCCCCGCTTCACCTCACCTCACCTCTTGGAAATCCAGGTCCAGAGCTTACTTAGACCATTTTTTTGTACACATTTGCATCTTTTAAGGAAACTTTACATTCTTGAACTACTGTGCCTCAGGTCTACCTGCCCAGGTGAGTCATTAATGAACCATGACGGCTGAAATTAGTACTTAGAGAGAGAGAGAGAGAGAGAGAGAGAGAGAGAGAGAGAGAGAGATAAGGATAGTGAAGGAAAGTTAGAACAAATTAAAGAGTGGGAAATAAAAGAGGTTGAAAAGAAGTAAAAATAACAAGAAACGGAGATAAATATGTACAAGGAGAAAGGAAGGAAGAAACAAAGGAATTGATTAAAAATTGAAGCGTTGTGCCAGTCTCCAGTGTGTGTGTGTGTGTGTGTGTGTGTGTGTGTGTGTGTGTGTGTAGGCCAATGCTGCCTCTCAGTTCCTGTTTATTCATTGTCAACATTCCGTGAAAGATGGCGGCATTTAATATTTTGTAGTGAGTAAACAACTGAAATATGTGGCAGGGGGAGGATAGGTGGTAGGGGAAATGGTGTGGAGGGGGAGGGTAGGTGGTAGGGGAGATGGTGTGGTGGGGGAGGGTAGGTGGTAGGGGAGATGGTGTGGTGGGGGAGGGTAGGTGGTAGGGGATATGGTGTGGAGGTGGAGGGTAGGTGGTAGGGGAGATGGCTTCACAAGCGGGCGTTCATGTCTAACTAATCTATTAACATTCTTTTCATCAGTTTTCGAATCGGTGGACGAGGCGGCACAATTATGGTGTGGTATATCTCGACTTTAACAAAGCCTTCGACAGAGTCCCCCACGAAAGACTAATAAGAAAAGTAGAAGCACATGGCATCAAAGGTAATATTCTAAAATGGATTAGGGCGTGGTTACAGGACAGGAAACAGCGAGAGAGCATTAACGGCACTAAATCCCATTGGAGCAACTTCACTATGCAGTTCCCCAAGGCTCAGTACTTGGACCATTATTATTTATTATATACATAAACGACATAGACATCGGCATAGACAGCAACATAAGTAAATTTGCTGATGACACTAAAATAGGACGTGTAATTAAATCTGATGAGGACTCCGCAAAACTACAGGAAGATCTAAACAAATTTTTCGAATGGTCTGAAAAATGGCAGATGAAATTCAATGTGGACAAATGTAAAGTACTCAGTATAGCAGATGTAAACAGGGCAACCGGATACCAAATGAACAACGATGCCATTGTGAAATCCGACTGCGAGAGAGATTTAGGAGTAATGATAAGTAGGAATCTTAATCCAAGTAAACAATGTGTTTTTGCTCGTAACAAGGCTAATAAAGTACCTGGGTTCATACAAAGGAGTGTTAGTTATATGACTAGCGAGGTCATCTTAAGATTATATCTTGCGCTTGTGAGACCTCACCTGGGTTACGCAGTTCAGTTCTGGTCACCGTAGTACAGAATGGATGTAGAATCCTTGGAAAGAATTCAGAGGAGAATGACAAGACTAATCCCGGGCATTAGGAACCTTAAGTACAGGACAGGTTAAAGCATCTTAATTTGCACTCCCTCGAGAGACGTAGAGCGAGGGGCGACATGATAGAGGTGTATAAATGGAAGTCAGGGCTAAACAAAGGGGACATTACAAAGGTACTCAAACTATCCAACTAGGAGCGAACTCGTAACAATGGTTTTAAATTAGACAAACTTAGATTTAGGCGCGAAATTGGTAAACACTGGTTTGGAAATAGAGTAGTGGATGAATGGAACAAATTACCAAATATCATTATTAACTCGAATACTCTGGATAGCTTCAAATATAGGTTGGATGGATATATGAGCAATAGGGGTTGGGTGTAAACGGAACTGCTCAGTATGGACCAATAGGCCCGCTGCACTTTCCTCCATTCTTATGTTCTTATGTAGGGGAGATGGTATGGAGGGGGAGGGTGGGTGGTAGGGATGGTGTGGAGGGGGAGGGTGGGTGGTGGGGGAGATGGTGTGGAGGGGGAGGGTAGGTGGTGGGGAGATGGTATGGAGGGGAGGGTGGGTGGTGGGGGATGGGTGTGGAGGGGGGGAGGGTGAGGTGGGGGAGATGGTGTGGAGGGTGGGTGGTGGGGGATGGTGTGGGGGGTGGGTGGTGGGGGATGGTGTGGAGGGGGAGGGTGGGTGGTGGGGGAGATGGTGTGGAGGGGGAGGGAGTGGGTGGTGGGAGATGGTGGGGGGAGGGTAGGTGGTAGGGAGATGGTGTGGAGGGAGGGGTGGGTGGTGGGGAGATGGTGTGGAGGGGGAGGGTAGGTGGTAGGGAGATGGTGTGGGGAGGGTGGGTGGTGGGGAGATGGTGTGGAGGGGGAGGGTGGGTGGTGGGGGATGGTGTGGAGGGTGGGTGGTGGGGGATGGTGGAGGGGAGGGGTGGGTGGTGGGGGATGGTGTGGAGGGGTGGGTGGTGGGGATGGTGTAGAGGGGAGGGTAGGGTGGTAGGGGAGATGGTGTGGGGGAGGGTAGGTGGTAGGGAGATGGTTGGAGGGAGAGGGTAGGTAGTAGGGAGATGGTGTGGAGGTGGAGGGTAGGTGGTAGGGAGATGGTGTGGAGGGGAGGGTAGGTGGTAGGGGAGATGGTGTGGAGGGGGGAGGGAGGTGGTAGGAGTGGTAATGCGGATGAAGAGAGAGAGGGAGGGGGCAGTGTGGGGAGGTAGGGTGAGGGGGGAGGGCAGAAGGGGTGCAAGAGGAGTAAAATAGAAGGGTGGGGGAAGGGAAGGAGAGAAAGAGGGTGAGCATAAGGGAGAAGAATTTTGTCCACTTAGATAGATAGAAAGAAAAGAAATCGATACATATATTATATGATGTGAAGGGACATAATATAGACAACAAATTGGTTATTGATATTCGAGAGAGAGAGAGAGAGAGAGAGAGAGAGAGAGAGAGAGAGAGAGGGGGCGGTGGGGGGTGGGGTGGCAGGTAATATTACTTCACTGAGAAAGAATAAATAATAATCAATAGCGGTTAATAGAACAGGTGGCAGACAGTGCTACACCTTCCTGGCCCAGATATGTAAATTATGATACTTTGTCTGGCTATAGAGTGAGCAGGATATAACACCGGGGGGGAGGAGGGCAGGATATATACACAGGTGGGGGAGGAGGGGATATACAGGTGGGGGAGGAGGGCAGGATATATACCACAGGGGGAGAGGGCAGGATATATACACCAGGTGGGGGGAGAAAACCCAGTGGAGGAGGCAGGAAATAACAGGTGGGGGAGAGGGCAGGATATACCCAGGTGGGGAGGAGGCAGGATATACACAGGTGGAGGAGGCAGGAGCACACCAGGTGGGGGAGGAGGGCAGGATATACACGGTGGGGAGGAGGCAGGATATACACAGGTAGGGGAGGAGGAGGATATATACACCAGGTGGGGAGGAGGGCAGGATATATACACCAGGTGGGGGGAGGAGGGCAGGATATACACACCAGGTGGGGGAGGAGGGCAGGATATATCACCAGGTGGGGAGGAGGGCAGGAATAACACAGATATATACACCAGGTAGGGGAGGAGGGCAGGATATATACACCAGGTGGGGGAGGATATATACACCAGGTGGGGGGGGAGGGCAGGATATATACACCAGGTAGGGGAGGAGGGCAGGATATATACACCAGGTGGGGAGGGAGGCAGGATATATACACCAGGTGGGGAGGAGGGCAGGATATATACACCAGGTGGGGGTGGAGGCAGGATATATACCAGGTGGGGAGGAGGCAGGATAATACGGTGGGAAGGAATATACACAGGTGGGGGAGGCAGAATATACACGTAGGGGAGGAGGGCAGGATATATACACCAGGGAGGAGGGCAACAACAACCAGGTGGGGGAGGAGGCAGGAAAACCGGTGGGGAGGAGGGAGGAGAAACACCAGGTGGGGAGGAGGCAGGATATATATACCAGGTGGGGGAGGAGGGCAGGATATAACACCAGGTGGGGGAGGAGGGGAGGATATATACCAGGTGGGGAGGAGGCAGACAACGATATATAACAGGAGGATATATACTCAGGTGGGGGAGGAGGGCAGGATATATACACCAGGTGGGGGAGGAGGGCAGGATATATACACCAGGTAGGGGAGGAGGGCAGGATATATACACCAGGTGGGGAGGAGCAGGATATGCACCAGGTGGGGGAGGAGGGCAGGATATATCCAGGTAGGGGAGGAGGGCAGGATATATACACCAGGTGGGGGAGGAGGGCAGGATATACACAGGTGGGGGAGGCAGGAATATACCGGGGGGAGGCAGGAATACAGGAGGATATATACACCAGGTGGGGGAGGAGGGCAGGATATATACACCAGGTAGGGAGGAGGGCAGGATATATACACCAGGTGGGGGAGGAGGGCAGGATATATACACCAGGTGGGGGGGAGCAGGATATATCACCGGGGGAGGAGGGCAGGATATGCAGGTGGGGAGGGAGGGCAGGATATATACACCAGGTGGGGGAGGAGGGCAGGAATATATACACCCAGGTAGGGGAGGAGGGCAGGATATACACCAGGTGGGGAGAGGGCAGGATATATACACCAGGTGGGGGGGAGGGGCAGGATATATACACCAGGTGGGGGGAGGAGGGCAGGATATATCACCCAGTGGGGGAGGAGGCAGGATATATACACTGGTGGGGGAGGAGGGCAGGATATATACAGGTAGGGGAGGAGGGCAGGATATATACACAGGTGGGGGAGGAGGGCAGGATATATACACCAGGTAGGGAGGAGGCAGGATATATACACCAGGTGGGGGAGGAGGCAGGATATATACACCAGGTGGGGGAGGAGAGGCAGGATATATACACCAGGTAGGGGAGGAGGGCAGGATATATATACACCCAGGTGGGGGAGGAGGGCAGGATATATACACCAGGTGGGGAGGAGGGCAGGATATATACACCGGGTGGGGAGAGGGCAGGATATATACACCAGGTGGGGAGGAGGGCAGGATATATGCACAGGTGGGGGAGGGGAGGGCAGGATATATACACCAGGTGGGGGGAGGAGGGCAGGATATATACACCAGGTGGGGGAGGAGGGCAGGATATATACACCAGGTGGGGGAGGAGGGCAGGATATATACACCAGGTAGGGGAGGAGGGCAGGATATACACCAGGTGGGGAGGGAGGGCAGGATATATACACCAGGTGGGGGAGGAGGGCAGGATATATGCACCAGGTGGGGAGGGAGGGCAGGATATATACACCAGGTGGGGAGGGGCGGTATACACCAGGTGGGGGGGGAGGGCAGGATATATACACCAGGTAGGGAGGAGGGCAGGATATCACCAGGTGGGGAGGAGGGCAGGATATACACCAGGTGGGGAGGGAGGGCAGGAATATATACACCAGGTGGGAGGAGGGCAGGATATATACACCAGGTGGGGGAGGAGGGCAGGATATATGCACCAGGTGGGGGAGGAGGGCAGGATATACCAGGTGGGGGAGGAGGGCAGGATATATACACCAGGTAGGGGAGGAGGGCAGGATATATACACCAGGTAGGGGAGGAGGGCAGGATATACCCAGGTGGGGAGGAGGGCAGGATATATACCAGGTGGGGGAGGAGGCAGGATATATACACCAGGTGGGGGAGGAGGACAGGATATATACACCAGGTGGGGGGGGAGAGGGCAGGATATATACACCAGGTGGGGGGAGGAGGGCAGGATATACACCAGGTGGGGAGGAGGGCAGGATATATACACCAGGTGGGGGGAGGAGGCAGGATATATACACCAGGTGGGGAGGAGGGCAGAATACAGGTGGGGAGGGCAGGATATATACACCGGGTGGGGGGGAGGCAGGATATATACACCAGGTGGGGGAGGAGGCAGGATATATACACCAGGTAGGGGAGGAGGGCAGGATATATACCAGGTAGGGAGGAGGGCAGGATATATACACCAGGTGGGGGAGGAGGGCAGGATATATACACCAGGTGGGGGGAGGAGGGCAGGATATATACACCAGGTTGGGGAGGAGGGCAGGATATATGCACCAGGTGGGGGAGGAGGGCAGGATATATACACCAGGTGGGGGAGGAGGGTAGGATATATACACCAGGTGGGGGAGGAGGGCAGGATATATACACCAGGTGGGGGAGAAGGGCAGGATATATACACCTGGTGGGGGAGAGGGCAGGATATATACACCAGGTGGGGGAGGAGGCAGGATATATACACCAGGTGGGGGAGGAGGGCAGGATATATACACACCTGAGGGGAGGAGGGCAGGATATACACCAGGTGGGGGAAGGGCAGGATATACACCGGTAGGGGAGGAGGGCAGGATATATACACCAGGTGGGGAGGAGGGCAGGAATATACACCAGGTGGGGGAGGAGGGCAGGATATGACCACCAGAACTGTTGTCTACGGTCTGAGGAACAATAGTTAGTTAAAGTCCCACAATATTGACGTTAATGTAGACTAAGTTGAAGCTTTAGTGCTCGAGTGAGGAGTTGATGGTTGAAGCTTTAGTGCTCAGTGGGGGTGATGTGAAGCTGTAGTGCTCAGTGAGGGATTGATGCTTGGAAGCTTTAGTGCTCGAGTGAGGGAGTTGATGGTTGAAGCTTTAGTGCTCGAGTGAGGGAGTTGATGGTTGAAGCTTTAGTGCTCGAGTGGGGAGTTGATGGTTGAAGCTTTAGTGCTCAGAGTGAGGGAGTTGATGGTTGGCTTTAGTGCTGAGTGAGGGAGTTGATGGTTGAAGCTTTAGTGCTCAGTGAGGTTGATGGTTGAAGCTTTAGTGCTCGAGTGAGGTTGATGGTTGAAGCTTTAGTGCTCGAGTGAGTGATGTCTAGTGAGGAGTTGTGGCTTTAGTGCGGTGGGGAGTTGATGGTTGAAGCTTTAGTGCTGGAGTGAGGGAGTTGATGGTTGAGCTTTAGTGCTCGAGTGGGGAGTTGGTGGTTGGCTTTAGTGCTCAGTGGGGAGTTGATGGTTGAAGCTTTAGTGCTCAGTGAGGTTGATGGTTAAGCTTTAGTGCTCGAGTGAGGGTTGATGGTTGGAGCTTTAGTGCTCGAGTGGGGAGTTGATGGTTGAAGCTTTAGTGCTCGAGTGGGGGAGTTGATGGTTGAAGCTTTAGTGCTCAGTGAGGGAGTTGATGGTTGAAGCTTTAGTGCTCAGTGTGAGGGAGTTGATGGTTGAAGCTTTAGTGCTAGAGTGAGGGAGTTGATGGTTGAAGCTTTAGTGCTGGGTGGGGAGTTGATGGTTGAAGCTTTAGTGCTGGAGTGGGGGAGTTGATGGTTGGCTTTAGTGCTCGGTGAGGTTGATGGTTGAAGCTTTAGTGCTCGAGTGAGGGAGTTGATGGTTGAAGCTTTAGTGCTCAGTGAGGGGTTGGTGGTTGAAGCTTTAGTGCTCAGTGAGGAGTTGATGGTTGAAGCTTTAGTGCTCGAGTGAGGGAGTTGATGGTTGAAGCTTTAGTGCTCGAGTGAGGGAGTTGATGGTTGAAGCTCTAGTGCTGGAGTGAGGGGTTGATGGTTGAAGCTTTAGTGCTGGGTGAGGGAGTTGATGGTTAAGCTTTAGTGCTGGGTAGGGGTTGATGGTTGAAGCTTTAGTGCTCGGTGAGGTGATGGTTGAAGCTTAGTGCTGGGTGGGAGTTGATGGTTGAGCTTTAGTGTGGAGTGAGGGGTTGATGGTTGAAGCTTTAATGCTCGAGTGAGGTTGATGGTTAAGCTTTAGTGCTCGAGTGAGGGAGTTGATGGTTGAAGCTTTAGTGCTGGATTGAGGGAGTTGATGGTTGAAGCTTTAATGCTGGAGTGAGGGAGTTGATGGTTGAAGCTTTAATGCTCGAGTGAAGTTGATGGTTGAAGCTTTAATGCTCGGTGAGGTTGATGGTTGAAGCTTTAAGTGCTGGAGTGAGGGAGTTGATGGTTGAAGCTTTAATGCTGGAGTGAGGGAGTTGATGGTTGAAGCTTTAATGCTCAGTGAGGGAGTTGATGGTTGAGCTTTAGTGCTGGGTGAGGGAGTTGATGGTTGAAGCTTTAATGCTCAGTGAGGGAGTTGATGGTTGAAGCTTTAGTGCTGGGTAGGGAGTTGATGGTTGAAGCTTTAATGCTGGGTGAGGGGTTGATGGTTGAAGCTTAATGCTGGAGTGGGAGTTGATGGTTGAAGCTTTAGTGCTGGAGTGAGGGAGTTGATGGTTGAAGCTTTAGTGCTGGAGTGAGGGAGTTGATGGTTCTCTTAATGAAGAAGAGAATATATAGGGGAGATACATCGATGAGTAACTCCACCATACTGATGACACATTATGTATCCCGGACAGATCCAGCTGGCCAGCATGTGTATGTGTGTCAGCATCAGCGCCTGGGTGTCGCTCGGCTGCCTCTTCACGCCCAAGGTGTACATCGTCATCTTCCAGCCCTACAAGAACGTGAGGCAGGGCTCTGGACCCGTCAAGGTGAGGATCCTCTCATGTTTCCCGAGTAATGTTAGAAGCAAGATATCAATCCAAAATCAGTCTCAGAGGATGACCTACTTCAAGGGTCATCTTCAAGAAGGAATGTTATTATTTATCCTAACGCTTAAACTTTGAATTCCACTTCCTCGCCTGTTTCTAAGTCACTCACCGACTAAGTTGGTGTTTACAAGCTAGTGCCAGGATGAACATATACTTCCAGGAGCTGACAAACTTTCACCTCAGTTTCACTTTTGCCTAAGACAATTACCATGACTAGATTCCCGTGTTCTTGAGCTCATATGTCCTGACCACCTCAACCTCCTCTTAATACAGTACTTTCAGAACAGTTGTAGAAGTTAGCGTTGTGTTTCTTCAGGCAGACAAACTTTCCCCACTACATCGTTATATATCCAGGTCACAGTAATCTCTGTCTAGGAATTCTGATTTCTCGACCACACAAACTTTGACGTTCACTTCCGCCTCATTTTTCAGGATCATCTTAAAGGCTGTTTTCTGTTGTCCTCACTCTGGTTAACTCTTGTTTGACTTTTTTGTTTCACAAATTTAAAAACTCCTGCTGCCTCGGGATTATAATCACCCGTGTTTCTAGGATTCTGCAATCTCGGCGAGCTGGCTCTTGTTATTACTCACTCCTACAAACTTTGACATTCCAACTTCATTTTATGTTTCAGGACAATTTCAGAAACTGTATTTGTTTCCACGAGTTCACAAACTTTGGCCTCAACTCCCACCTCTGCTGCCATGACAATGTTAGAGATTTCTGTTCCCTCAAGCTCGCAAACTTGTCTCTCAACTTCCGCCTCTGTTTCCATGACAATATCAGGCTCTCTGTTTCTCTTCCCTCAAGCCATGACAACTTCTCTTTCAATTTCCTCTTTCTCTCTCTCTCTCTATTCCTTGCCTATTCGTGGCTGTCACTATTTCCTCCAGCTCACAAACCTTCTATCTCAACTTTCTCAACTCTTACTTTAGCTCTTACATTCATACTCTCTTCTCTCACTCTATTACTCTACTCTCTTACACTCTTTAACTCTATTTTTACTCTTTACTCTTAACTCTTCTCTTTTTACTCTTTACTCTTAACTCTTCTCTTTTTACTCTTTACTCTTAACTCTTCTCTTTTTACTCTTTACTCTTAACTCTTCTCTTTTTACTCTTTACTCTTAACTCTTCTCTTTTTACTCTTTACTCTTAACTCTTCTCTTTTCTCTTTACTCTTAACTCTTCTCTTTTTACTCTTTACTCTTAACTCTTCTCTTTTTACTCTTTCCCTTAACTCTTCTCTTTTTACTCTTTACTCTTAACTCTTCTCTTTTCACTCTTTACTCTTAACTCTTCTCTTTTTACTCTTTACTCTTAACTATTAACATTCATCATATTTTTAAATGTGTAATGTTCAGAAAGTATATGATTAATTTATATATACAAAGATGATACATGCTGCAGTTACTCACTACCTGTTGCAGTCACTCACTATTTGTTGCAGTCACTCACTACCTGTTGCACCTCACTCACTATTTGTTGCAGTCACTCACTACCTGTTGCACCTCACTCACTATTTGTTGCAGTCACTCACTACCTGTTGCACCTTACTCACTATTTGTTGCAGTCACTCATTACCTGTTACAGTCACTCACTACCTGTTGCAGTCACTCACTACCTGTTACAGTCACTTACTACCTGTTGCATCCTCACTGTTGCATCTCACTACCTGTTGTATGGTCACTCACCTGTTGCAGTCACTCACTTCCTGTTGCAGTCACTCACTACCTGTTGCAGTCACTCCTACCTGTTGCAGTCAATCACTACCTGTTGCAGTCACTCACTACCTGTTGCAGTCACTCACTACCTGTTGCAGTCTCACTACCTGTTCAGTCTCACTACCTTGCATCCCTCACTACCTGTTGTATGGTCATTCACCTGTTGCAGTCACTCACTTCCTGTTGCAGTCACTCACAACCTGTTGCAGTCACTACTATCTGTTGCAGTCACTCTCACCTGTTGCAGTCACTCACCTGTTGCAGTCACTCACACCTGTTACAATCACTCACTACCTGCTGCAGTCACTCTCTCTGTTGCAGTCACTCCACCTGTTGCAGTCACTCACAACCTGTTGCAGTCACTCACTATTTGTGCAGTCACTCGCTACCTGTTGCAGTCACTCACCCTCTTGCAGTCACTCCAACCTGTTGCAGTCACTCACTATTTGTTGCAGTCACTCACTTCCTGTTGCAGTCACTCATTACCTGTTGCATCCACTCATTACCTTTGGCAGTCACTACAACCTGGTAGTCACCACTACCAGTTGCAGTCACTCACTACCTGTTACAGTCACTCACTACCTGTTGCAGTCACCTGTTGCAGTCACTCACTACCTGTTGCAGTCACTACACCTGTTGCATCCCTCATTACCTTTGGCAGTCACTACTACTGTGCACTCACTACCTGTTGCATCCACTCATTACCTTTGGCAGTCACTCACTACCTGTGGCAGTCACTCACTACCTGTTGCATTCTCATTACCATTGGCAGTCACTCACTACCTGTTGTATGGTCACTCACTACCTGTTGCAGTCACTCATTACCTGTTGCCACTCATTACCTTTGGCATCACTCACAACCTGTGGCAGTCACTCACTACCAGTTGCAGTCACTATTACTTGGCAGTCACTCCAACCTGTGGCAGTCCTCACTACTGCTGCAGTCACTCACTACCTGTTGCATCCACTCATTACCTTTGGCAGTCACTCACACCTGTTGCATCCACTCATTACCTTTGGCAGTCCTCACCAACCTGTGAGTACTCCCACCACCTGTTGCATCCACTCATTACCTTTAGCAGTCACTGCAACACCTGTGGCAGTCACTCACCACCTGTTGCATCCTCATTACCTTTGGCAGTCACTCGCAACCTGTGGCAGTCACTCACCACCTGTTGCATCACTCATTACCTTTGGCAGTCACTCCTACCTGTTGCAGTCCTCACTACCTGTTGCATCCACTCATACCTTTGGCAGTCACTCACTACCTGTGCAGTCTCCCACCTGTTGCATCCACTCATTACCTTTGGCAGTCACTTGCAACCTGGGCAGTCACTCACTACCTGTTGCATCCACTCATTACCTTTGGCAGTCTCACTACCTGTTGCAGTCACTCACCACCTGTTGCAGTCACTCTACCTGTTGCATCCACTCATTACCTTTGGCGATACTACCCTGTGGCAGTCACCTGACTGGGCAGTCACTCACTACTTGTTGCAGTCACTCACTACCTGTTACAGTCACTCATTACCTTGATCACTCACAACCTGTGGCAGTCACTCACTACTTGTTGCAGTCACTCTGCCTGCAGTCCTCACTACCTGTTGTGGGTCACTCACCTTTGCATCTACTCATTACCTTTGGCAGTCACTCACAACCTGGCGGTACTCACACTGCTGCAGTCACTCACCTGTTGCATCCACTCATTACCTTTGGCAGTCACTCACTACCTGTGGCAATCACTCACTACCTGTTGCATCCACTCATTACCTTTGGCAGTCACTCTGCAACCTGTGGCAGTCACTCACTACCTGCTGCAGTCACTCACTACCTGTTGCATCCATCATTACTTGGTCACTCCACTACCTGTTGCATCTCATTACCTTTGGCAGTCACTCACTACCTGTGGCAGTCACTCACTACCTGTTGCATCCACTCATTACCTTTGGCAGTCACTCACTACCTGTGGCAGTCACTCACTACCTGTTGCATCCACTCATTACCTTTGGCAGTCACTCACTACCTGTTGCAGTCACTCACTACCTGTTGCAGTCACTCACTACCTGTTGCATCCACTCATTACCTTTGGCAGTCCTTCAACCTGTGGCAGTCACTCACTACCTGCTGCAGTTACTCACTACCTGTTGCAGTCACTCACTACCTGTTGCATCCACTCATTACCTTTGGCAGTCACTCGCAACCTGTGGCAGTCACTCCTTTGTTGCAGTCCACTCTATTTGCAGTCACTCACTTCTGTGCAGTCACTCACCCTGTTGCATCCACTCATTACCTTTGGCAGTCACTCACAACCTATGGTAGTCACTCACTTCCTGTTGCAGTCCTCACAACCTGTTGCCGTCACTATCTGTTGCAGTCACTCGCTACCTGTGCTCTACTTGCAGTCACTCACCTGTTGTCCTCACTACCTGTTGCAGTCACTCACTACCTGTTGCAGTCACTCGCTACCTGTTGCAGTCACTCACAACCTGTTGCAGTCACTCACTGTCTGTTGCAGTCACTCGCTACCTGTTGCAGTCACTCACTACCTCTTGCAGTCATTCACAACCTGTGGCAGTCACTCACTACCTGTTGCATCCACTCATTACCTTTGGCAGTCACTCACTACCTGTGGCAGTCACTCACTACCTGTGGCAGTCATTACTACCTGTTGCATCCTCATTTTTGGCAGTCACTCACTACGTGTGGTAGTCACTCTACCTGTTGCATCCTCACCACCTTTGGCAGTCATTCACTACACCAGCAGCTCCTCACTACCTGTTGCATTCACTCATTACCATTGGCAGTACTCATTACCTGTTTATGGTCCTCTACCTGTTGCAGTCCATTACCTGTTGCATCCACTCATTACCTTTGGCAGTCTCCACTTGGTAGTCACTACCACCGTTGCAGTCCTCACCACCTGTTACAGTCACTCACCTGTTGCAGTCACTCACTACCTGTTGCAGTCCTCTACCTGTTGCAGTCACTCACTACCTGTTGCATCCACTCATTACCTTTGCAGTCACTCACTACCTGTAGCAGCTCACACCTACCTGTTGCATCACTCATTACCTGGCAGTCACTCACTACCTGTAGCAGTCACTCACCTGTTGCATTATTACCATTGGCGAACTCACTACCTGTTGTGGTCACTCACTACCTATTGCAGTCTCATTACCTGTTGCATCCTATTACCTTTGGCAGTCACTCACAACCTGTGGCAGTCACTCACACCATTTGCAGTCACTCACCTGTTACAGTCTCCACTACCTGTTGCAGTCACTCACTACCTGTTGCAGTACTCACTACCTGTTGCAGTCACTCACTACCTGTTGCATCCACTCTTACCTTTGGCAGTCACTCACTACCTGTGGCAGTCACTCACTACCTGTTGCATCACTCTTACCTTTGGCAGTCACTCACTACCTGCTGCAGTCACTCACTACCTGTTGCATCCACTCATTACCTTTTGGCAGTCACTCACTACCTGTTGCAGTCACTCACTACCTGTTGCATCCACTCATTACCTTTGGCAGTCACTCACCCAACCTGTGGCAGTCACTCACTACCTGCTGCAGTTACTCACTACCTGTTGCATCCACTCATTATCTTTGGCAGTCACTCGCAACATGTGGCAGTCACTGCAACCTGTGGCAGTCTCACTACCTGCTGCAGTCACTCACTACCTGTTGCATCCACCATTACCTTTGATCACTCACTACCTGTTGCAGTCACTCACTACCTGTTGCAGTCACTCACTACCTGTTGCATCCCTCTTACCTTTGGCAGTCACTCACTACCTGCTGCAGTCCTCACTACCTGTTGCAGTCACTCACCTGTTGCAGTCACTCGCAACCTGTGGCAGTCACTCACTACCTGCTGCAGTCACTCACTACCTGTGGCAGTCACTCACTACCTGTTGCAGTCATTCACTACCTGTTGCATCCTCATTACCTTTGGCAGTCACTCGCAACCTGTGGCAGTCACTCGCAACCTGTGGCAGTCCTCACTACCTGTTGCAGTCACTCACTCACTACCTGTGGCAGTCAATCCTCAACACGGCAGTCACTCATTACCTGTGGCAGTCACTCTCGCAACCTGTGGCAGTCACTCACTACCTGTTGCAGTCACTCACTCACTACCTGTTGCAGTCAGTCACTTCACTGCCTGTTGAATCCACTTTCTACCTGTTGTATGGTCACTCACTACCTGTTGCATCCACTCACTACCTGTGGCAGTCACTCACTACCTGTTGCCGTCTCGTTATCTCTTGCAGTCATTCACAACTGTTGGCAGTCAGTCACTCCACTGCCTGTTGAATCCACTTTCTACCTGTTGTATGGTCACTCACTACCTGTTGCATCCACTCACTACCTGTTGTAGGGTCACTCACTACCTGTTGCATCCACTCACTACCTGTTGTAGGGTCACTACTACCTGTTGTAGGGTCACTCACTACCTGTTGCATCCACTCATTACCTTTGTCAGTCACTCACTACCGGTTGCAGTCACTCACTACCTGTTACAGCCACTCATTACCTTTGTCAGTCACTCACTTCCTGTTACAGTCAATCACTTCCGGTTATAGTCACTCGTTACCTTTGGCAGTCACTCACTACCTGTTGCAGTCACTCACTACCTGTTACAGCCACTCATTACCTTTGGCAGTCACTCACTACCTGTTGCCAGTACTCACTACCTGTTGCATCCACTCATTACCTTTGGCAGTCACTCACTACCTGTTACAGTCACTCTTACCTGGCAGTCACTCCAACCTGTGGCAGTCACTCACTACTTGTTGCAGTCACTCACTACCTGTTGCAGTACTCACTACCTGTTAGAAGTCACTCATTACCTTTGGCAGTCACTCACAACCTGTGGCAGTCACTCACTACTTGTTGCAGTCACTCACTACCTGTTACAGTCACTCATTACCTTTGGCAGTCACTCTACCTGTTGCAGTCCTCACTACCTGTTACAGTCACTCTCATTACCTTTGGCAGTCACTCCTACCTGTTGCAGTCACTCCTACCTGTTACAGTCACTCATTACACTTGGCAGTCACTCACTACCTGTTGCATCCACTTACTACCTGTTGTAGAGTCACTCACTACCTGTTGCATCCACTCACTACCTGTTGTAGGGTCCTCACTACCTGTTGCATCCACTCATTACCTGTGGCAGTCACTCACTACCTGTTGTAGGGTCACTCACTACCTGCTGTAGGGTCACTCATTTCCTTTGGCGGTCCTCACTACCTGTTGCAGTCACTCACTACCTCTTACAGTCACTCATTACCTTTGAGTCACTCCTACCTATTGTGTCACTCACTACCTGTTACAGTCACTCATTACCTTTGGCAGCCACTCCCTGTAGCAGTCCTCATACTTGTTGCAGTCACTCACTACCTGTTGCAGTCACTCACTACCTGTTACAGTCACTCATTACCTTTGGCAGTCACTCACAACCTGTGGCAGTCACTCACCTGTTGCAGTCACTCACTACCTGGGCAGTCACTCACTGCCTGTTGTAGGGTCACTCTCTGCCTGTTGTAGGGTCACTCACTACCTGTTGCATCCACTCATTACCCTTGGCAGTCACTCACTACCTGTTACAGTCACTCACTACCTGTTGCAGTCACTCACTACCTGTTGCATTCACTCATTACCTTTGGCAGTCACTCACTACCTGTGGCAGTCACTCACTACCTGTTGTGGTCACTCACTGTGGCAGTCACTCTACCCGTGGCAGTCATTCACTACCTGTGGCAGTTAGTCACTACCTGTGGCAGTCACCACCACCTGTGCAGTCCTCACCACCTGTTGTAGGGTCACTCACTACCTGTGGCAGTCTCACTACCTGTTGTAGTCACTCACTACCTGTGGCAGTCACTCTCTACCCCGTGGCAGTCATTCACTACCTGTGGCAGTCAGTACCTGTGGCAGTCACTCACTACCTGTTGCAGTACTCACTACCGGTGGCAGTCAGTCACTACTTGTTGCATCCTTTCATTACCTTTGGCAGTCCTCACTACCTGCTGCGTCACTCACTACCTGTTGTAGGGTCACCCACTACCTGTTGCATTCTGTCTACGGCAGTCACTCACTACCTGTGGCAGTCACTCACTACCTGTTGTAGTCACTCACTACCTGTGGCAGTCACTCTCTACCCGTGGCAGTCATTCACTACCTGTTGCAGTCACTCACTACCTGTTGTAGGGTCACTCACTACCTCTTGCATTCACTCTCTACCTTTGGCAGTCACTCACTACCTGTGGCAGTCACTCACTACCTGTGGCAGTCACTCACTACCTGTTGTAGTCACTCTCTACCTGTGGCAGTCACTCACTACCTGTTGTAGTCACTCACCAGTCATCACTTTATCTTTGTGTTGCAGGGATCACAGAACAAGAGTTACGGGCAGAGTATGCGGTTCACCTCCCGCTCACAGACGGCACAGTCGGTGCTCTCCATCAACCACTCCAGTCTGCACGCCCCTCCGCCCTCCTCCATCAGTCAGCACGTGAACGGAGACTCTCTCACCGTGACCACCCCGAGTGTAGAGGAGAGTTCCATAACCTAGGGTCGGCGAGAGGTGCTGCTCTAACTGGAGACGCACCTCAGAGCGGGGTCACAGGCTACTACAACACGCCCTGCACCACCTCGCTGGGCTACCAACATGTAGAGCCCACTCAGGCGCATCCACATATACTTGTTGGCTCGTTCATGAAGGCGCTCCCACCAGACTTAAGCAGCTGCGGTGCTAGTTTAGGTGAAACCTTGAGTGTGGTGGAAGAGTGCGACCTCGAGGATGAGTTCTCTGATGATGACATGCAGGAGGAGGAGGAGGAGGAGGAGGAGGAAGAGATGCAGATAGAAGAAGAGGAACAGGAGGAGGAGGAGGAGGAGGAAGAAGTAGAGGAAGAAGAGGATGAAGAGAACAAACCCGAGATGAACTCACTCACTATCACCTTTGTGGACGAATCAACTTACCTGTGAATGGTTCCACCTGTGCCACGGCCATCGGGGGGTCGAGAGAGACTGACATGCGGAGATTGTCAGCAGGATCTCTCGGCCTTGCCACCGGCGCCCGCGGAACCCTGAACCCCGCCATGAGATATGTCTCCAGGAAGGCGACACCTCGAGTGTACCTCATAATTAAAACAAAAAACAAAAGCTTATATGCTCACTGTTGAGGATATGATTACTGCCATCTTCGGTCAGGAACATCCACAGTTGTCCCCCACCCCAGGGAGTGTTGCTGACTAACTCGTGCGTGCCGTGTGTGGGCTCGTGCCCCCAGTGTTATGATGGCAGGTATGGGCCTTCACACCACTAAGAGTTGCTCAACAAACCTCAAGCTGTTTTCAAAAAGTACTTACTTCCAAATGTTATCATTCATTGGTCGTGCTTTGGATATTTACTTCTATAAATGGTGCTGCGCATAATAGCTGTTTTTTAACAAGGCGCGCTGACGCGTTGTTATCACGAGAGTTGTTCAGGTCACCAGCTGTCTCGACCACTGTTATAGCTCAAGTTACTACGACTTACGCTGATATCATAAAGGAGCGCCAGGCGAAGATGTTCGTTTGTCTTCCCTTCCACGAGCGAGTCATTGTGAGATGGAAGGAAAGCCAGACGCTGTTGATCGCCCGTGCTGACGCTAGTGTTTCACGGTATGATCCTTAGATCGTTGCCTAAGGTGTCAGCCTCGCGGCCTCGTGCTGGAGGTCGCCAGGGCTGCTACAGTCCTATACATTTTTTGTGACCAAATTGTTCATGAATGATAATTCTCGTTGTCTAGTTTGTTTCGCTGTATGGTGTTGTTTATGTTTACGTTTTGTGTGGGAGGTAAGAAGAACGAGTTATCCCTCCAAGATGGAAGACAAACTTTAGTTCCGTGTTTTACATGTTAGGAGCAAGTTATCAGTAAAGGCCTCGTCTTATCCTCAAAAAATAAACCTGTACTAGAACAAAACTTCTCTTATTTATTTGTGATAAAGTGAGTTTCTGGGTCAGCGTCAGAGTATTTTAGTTAATATTGTGAGCGTTACTTGGCCTCTCACTCACTCACACAAGTTGGGTCTATAGAGGCAATGTTTGACAAGAGCGGTACACCCGACACCTCTTATTGGCTCCTGTTTCGCCCTCTGTTCACATCTGGGAGAACGAGCCTAAACATTTAAGAACAAAAGCAGAATGCATCGCTCATTCTAAATAATTACGCCAAATGTTTCCCAAAAAATCAAAATACAAAAAAATTAAATATTTTAACTGTATTTCCTTTTTGAGAGTTTGTGAGACGTTGTTAAGATCAAAATACACTGTACGCTTCTATCACCAGTGAGTGTTCTTTTTATGACATATATGATAGATGTTTATTCCCGCTCATGTGATATTACCCCAGCATGACCCCGGGTGGGCGGCCTGCCACCCACCTCCTTCACCCAGGGTGGGCGGCGGTGGGCGGTTTAGTCACCCACCCTCACTCACCAACCCAAGGAGCGGGGCGGGAAGTATACCGGAGGGACCAGGGGCCACGTTGTTACTATCACCACCACCACCACTTGTCACCACCACCTGTCACCACCACCACCACCTGTCACCACTACCACCACCCGACACCACCACCACCTGTCACTATCACCTCTACTACCTGATACTATCACCACCACATGTCACTGCCACCACCACCAACTGTCACTATCACCACCACTACCTGTCACTATAAACACCATCTGTCACCACCACCTGTCACTATCAGCACCACTACCTGTTACTATCACGCCCACTACCTGGCACTATCACCACCACTACCTGTCACTATCACCACCACCTGTCATTATCACCACTACTACCACCTGCCACTATCCCCTCAACCACCACCACTACCTGCCACTATCACCCCCGATACCTACTACTATTACCACACCACCACCACTTATCACTATCACCACCACCAACTGTCACTATCACTACCTACCGCTATTACCACCTGTCACTATCACCACCCATACCACAACCAACTGTCACTATTACCATTAACACCACCATCAACTGTCACTATCTCCACCCACACCACCACTACCATCCCTTGTGACTATCACCACCCCACCACCTGTCACTATCACCACCCACACCATGACCACCTGTCACTATCATCAATCTCACAACTTGTAAATATCCCACAACCATAAGTTGTTACCACAACCTCTCACTATAATCACAAATACCTCTCACTATCACCACCACTAGTCACTATCACCAATATCATTTTCACCATCACTCACCATTATCACTATTACCACTACCAGCATCAGTCACTATCACAAACCCCACGATTTTTCACAATCACCGGAAACAATTATCACCATCAATCATTTTCACCAACAACTTTATTACTTATCAATATCACCACCAACACCTGTCACACCTCCATCACACACACACACACACACACACACACACACACACACACACACACACACACACACACACACACACACACACACACACACACACACACACACACACACACACACACACACACACACACACACACACACTTCTATACAATAAAAACTGATTAATTTGTTCACTGATTAATTTGTTCTCCGATTGATTTGTTCACTGATTAATTTGTTCTCCGATTAATTTGTTCACTGATTAATTTGTTCACTGATTAATTTGTTCACTAATTAATTTGTTCACTGATTAATTTAAATTTGTTCTCCGATTAATTTGTTCAGTAATTAATTTGTTCACTTAGTGGTCATTAGAAAATTTATTCGTGACTTAATTTCTTCACTTATTCTCCCTACTCTGCCTTCAGCCTCTCACTTTATAACACATCACTCCCTCATAGTGTTTCTCCCTCACTCTCCCGCCCACCATTATTCTCCCTTACTCTCCCTCATACCATCACTCTCCCTCCCAACTTTACTCTCCCTTACACCATCACTCACCCTTATAATCTCTCCCTTACTCTCCCTCATACCATCACTCACCCTTACCATCTCTCCCTTATCATCTCTCCCTTACTCTCCCTCATACCATCACTCTCCCTCCCAACTTTGCTCTCCCGTACTCTCCCTCACACCATCACTCACCCTACCATCTCTCCCTTACTCTCCTCACACCATCACTCACCCCTTACCATCTCTCCCTACTCTCCTCACACCACCACTCACCCTACCATCTCCCTACCTCCCCACACCATCATTCTCACCCCACCATCTCTCCCCACTCTCACCACACCACCACTCACCCTTACCATCTCCCCACTCTCTCACACCATCACCACCCTACCATCTCTCTCCCTTACTCTCCTCACACCATCACTCACCCCTTACTCTCCCTCACACCATCATCACCCCACCATCTCCCTTACTCTCCCTCACACCATCTCTCCCATACTCTCCCTCACCATCACTCACCCTCTTACCATCTCTCCTTACTCCCCTCACACCATCACTCACCCCACCATCTCTCCCTACTCTCCCGCACACCACATCACTCTCCTTACATCATCATCTCTCCCTTTACTCTCCTCACACCATCAATCTCCCCTTACTCTCCCTCACACCATCACTCTCTTTTTACTCTAATTTCATACCATTATTTCCTCACACTATATCTCCCTTTATACCATCACTATCCCTTTACTTCCTCCTTCACCACTCTCCCTCACACCATCATATCTCCCTACACCATCACTTACTCTCCCTTATATAACATATGCATATCTATAATCTCAGCCAGTTGACCTGAACTGACCCGGTTTAACCTCCGGCTCTGTTCTATACTCCCTGCCCTCCTCCCCTCACTTCACCCTCACCTCCCCCACACACCCCCACCCCACACCCCCCACACCCTCGGCTAGTTAGTACTCACCTGTATATAGAGCTGTACAGATACTTATTGTCAACATGCAATAAAAAAAAAAGAAAAAAAAACCATTATTGACTTTTATTATTTATCATTATTTCCTCTATCCATATGTTATGATGGTCACTATACACAGTTAGCACTATAGAGAGGTGGTCACTATACACAGTTAGCACTATAGAGAGGTGGTCACTATACACAGTTAGCACTATAGAGAGGTGGTCACTATAAACAGTTAGTACTATAGAGAGGTGGTCGCTATAAACAGTTAGCACTATAGAGAGGTGGTCACTATACACAGTTAGCACTATAGAGAGGTGGTCACTATAAACAGTTAGCACTATAGAGAGGTGAGTCACTATAAACAGTTACTTACTATAGAGAGGTGGTCACTATACACGGTTAGTATAGATAGAGAGGTGATCACTATACACACGGTTGATCACACACAGTTAGCACTCCATAGAGGTGGTCACTATACACACTATAGAGAGGTGGCTCATGGCACTATAGTTAGCACTATAGAGAGGTGGTCACTATACAAAGGCTATAGAGAGGTGGTCACAGTTAGCACTATAGAGAGGTGGTCTATACACAGTTAGCACTATAGAGGTGGTCACTATACAGCACTATGGAGAGGTGGTGGTCACTATACACAGTATACACACACAGCACTATATACACAGTTAGCACTATAGAGAGGTGGTCACTATACACAGCACTGAGAGGTGGTCACTATAATAATAAAGTATAGAGAGGGTGGTCACTATACACAGCACTATAGAGAGGTGGTCACATACACAGTTAGCACTATAGAGAGGTGGTCACTATACACAGTTAGAGGTGGTGCCTACTATACAGTTAGCACTATAGAGAGGTGGTCACTAGCAGCACTATACACAGCAGAGAGGTGGTCACTATACACAGTACTTTACACTATACAGTTAGCACTAGAGAGGTGGTCACTATACACAGTTAGCACTATAGAGAGGTGGTCAACTATACACAGCACTATAGAGAGGTAGTTGGTCAGCACTATAGAGAGGTGGTCACAGTTAGCACTATAGAGAGGTGGTCACTATAAACTAACAGTTAGCACTATAGAGAGGGGTGATCACTATAAACAGTTAGCACTATAGAGAGTGGTCACTATAAACGGTTAGCACTATAGAGAGGTGATCACTATACACGGTGATCACTATAAAGTTAGCACTATAGAGAGGTGGTAGCACTATAGAGAGGTGGCTATACACAGATCACTATACACAGAGAGGTATCGCACTATAGAGGTGGTCACTATAACACAGTTAGCACTATAGAGAGGTGATCACTATACACAGTTAGCACTATAGAGAGGTGATCACTATAAACAGTTAGCACTATAGAGAGGTGGTCACTATACACAGTTAGCACTATAGAGAGGTGATCACTATAAACAGTTAGCACTATAGAGAGGTGATCACTATAAACAGTTAGCACTATAGAGAAGTGGTCACTATAAACAGTTAGCACTATAGAGAAGTGATCACTATACACAGTTAGCACTATAGAGAGGTGATCACTATGAACAGTTAGCACTATAGAGAGGTGGTCACTATAAACAGTTAGCACTATAGAGAGGTGGTCACTATAAACAGTTAGCACTATAGAGGTGATCACTATACACAGTTAGCACTATAGAGAGGTGATCACTATAAACAGTTAGCACTATAGAGAGGTGGTCACTATAAACAGTTAGCACTATAGAGAGGTGATCACTATACACAGCATAGCAAGCACTATAGAAAAGGTGGTCACTATACACAGTTAGCACTATAGAGAGGTGGTCACTATAAACAGTTAGCACTATAGGAGGTGGTCACTATAAACAGTTAGCACTATAGAGAGGTGGTCACTATAAACAGTTAGCACTATAGAAAGGTGGTCACTATACAACAGTTAGCACTATAGAGAGGTGGTCACCATACACAGTTAGCACTATGGAGAGGTGGTCACTATAAAACAGTTAGCACTATAGAAAGGTGGTCACTATACACAGTTACACTATAGAGAGGTGGTCACTATAGTACACAGTTAGCACTATAGAGAGGTGGTCACTATACACAGTTAGCAATTATAGAGAGGTGGTCACTATACACAGTTAGCACTATAGGAGAGGTGGTCACTATAAACAGTTAGCACTATTGAGGAGGGGGGTGGTCACTATAGCCATGCTAGGCACTATAGAGAGGTGGTCACTATAAACAGTTAGCACTATAGAGAGGTGGTCACTATACACAGTTAGCACTATAGAGAGGTGGTCACTATACACAGTTAGCACTATAGAGAGGTGATCACTATAAACAGTTAGCACTATAGAGAGGTGGTCACTATACACAGTTAGCACTATAGAGAGATGGTCACTATACACAGTTAGCACTATAGAGAGGTGGTCACTATACACAGTTAGCACTATAGAGAGGTGGTCACTATACACAGTTAGCACTATAGAGAGGTGGTCACTATAAACAGTTAGCACTATAGAGAGGTGGTCACTATAAACAGTTAGCACTATAGAGAGGTGATCACTATACACAGTTAGCACTATAGAGAGGTGGTCACTATACACAGTTAGCACTATAGAGAGGTGGTCACTATAAACAGTTAGCACTATAGAGAGGTGGTCACTATACAGTTAGCACTATAGAGAGGTGGTCACTATAAACAGTTAGCACTATAGAGAGGTGG